CAGTGTCTTCAGTGTCAAATGATCCTTCACAAATCAGTATAATATGAGGATTTGATGCTCAAGAAACATTTATTATTATTATCAATGTTGAAACAGTTGTTGGTCTGTCAGTTGTACAGTTTTTTTTTTTTTTAAGGATTCTTTGATGAATAGGAAGTTCAAAAGAACAGCATTTGTTTGAAATAGAATCTTTTGTAACATTATAAATGTCTTTACTGTCCTTGATAAATAAAAGTATTGATTTCTTTCCTCCAAAAAATAAAATTCTCACTGACCCCAAACTTTTGAACGGTAGTGTATATTATAGTATTCACTATTTATTAATATTTAAAAAAAAAATCTGTTTAGCTTTAATTTATTTTTTTCAGTTTTTAGTAATTTTAGTATTTAAGTATTTCAATAGTATTTCAGTGTTTAGTTAGTATTTTATTTCAATTAGTCGCCAAGTCAACATTTCTAATTAGTTTAAAAAAAAAAGTTTTTTCTACATCTACTGTATTTTTTATTTCAGCTTTATTTTAATTAACTATAACAGTTTTAATAGTTTTAGCTGCATGATTCTGGATAAATTGATAATCACTATTCTCTCACGATTCCGTGACAGATAAACAAAATAATGTAATTTACTCATGTAAATCAGACAAGTTGTCTATGAAAAAATATTTATTTCATTTGATATTTTTTTTAAATAGGTTTGAAAGAATGATTGAAAGACTTCATTTGTTTTATTACTTGATTATTCTGCATTTTTGAACAAATCCCTTGAATGAACGATTCAATGACAAATGCATTTTTTTGACAGTCACTTGTCGCCACCTACTGGTTTAAAGATGTAATTGATACGATTTGTATTTGAAGCATCAAGTTACTTTCAAAAGGTGAATTACTCTATTTTGATAGAGTAAATTCTATACATGACAACTGCCCTCTCTGGCTCAGCGGCAGCACCAATGCAAATTTGAATGTTAGCTGTGATCTTGCTTGTTAAAGGTTTAATAGACATAACCGAATCGTTGTCATTTAGGCATAAGATTGCGTGGGTGTTTGATTTGAGATCACATTCTTTTTTTTTTTCGCCCACAAATTCTACTGTTTAACTATTTAACAAATATTTCTTTTGAACCGGTTCTTTTTAGATGATTCTGTTGAACCGATTTGCAAAAGCATTGGTATATTGCTTAACTGTAAATGAGATTGTAAAACTGTGAGGTGCATGACAAATTGGAATTGCTGTAATATTTGAAACATGCATTGCTGCACAAGGACCTCTGAAAACATTTTGAAGTGAATTTATCAATGAATCAGTTTTTTAAAGATGTATTTTTGGCGATTTTTGCCTTTATTATGATAGGATAGTAGAGTGGACAGGAAGAGAGGTGGGAGAGAGAGAGAGAGTGGAACGGGAAAGCTCCGTGAAGCACAATATATGTCGGCGCGTTGCCCATGAGGCTATTGGTGCCGACAATGAATCGTTTTTTTTTTAATCTGTATTTTTTAAATGTTTTGTCAACAATCTAAGCGATTTCCTGATACATCCTAGTACCCACATGTACATATTAGCATTAGTATTTGTCTTTCAGGTTCTGACTCATAATTTGAGTTGAAATCCTTCTAAATATTTGGTTTCCTTATTCAGAAATTAACATAGTTATGCTATGTATAAGTTATGTGTTGAACACGTGCTTAAATTTTGATTATTGAAAGTTTCATGAAAGATTGAGGGTCACAGAAAGAGAGTCGACATTTTCAGGGTGCATGTGACTCAACGGTTATTCTGTCATTTGATTTTCAAATGATATAGTCATGTGAGATTGTGTGGGTAATTTCAAGGTTCCCACAGTCACAGAAGCTGTAAATATCGGTGAATTTAATTATTAGTGTAAATTGTCATTAATTAAATTCTAAAAAGTTTAGTTATGCTGGATTGTCTAATTATGCGCAGCTCCTAATGTTCTAGTGCAGTATCTATAAAATGATTAAAAATGCTTCTCCAGTAATCACAAATGACCGGAATAGTCATGGTGGAATTGATGGAAATTTATTGGTCAAAAGGTGTGGGAACTCAAGTTGTGGTTGATCATACAGCTGTCAGGGTGTGTTTCCTTTCCTGTAAAATCAATTTCTCCCCTGCTCTTTTATTAATGCTGCAGATTCTCTGATTAATTATTCATAATTCCTGTCTTTATGGTGCTTTATATGTGATCTTACCTGTATGAATGTGTCTGCCCTTTTAGAGATGTTTAAAATCATATTGACATTTCTGACAGGAACATAAGCTGCTTTTACCCCTCTGTGTGATGGAAGCATCTTCTCAAACATTTAGCTGCAGGTAGTCGACTTTTCTCCTTTATTTCTACAAATATGGACTATATTGGACTACAAAGTCCAGAGAGTCCAGTAGAGTTTCACTTCTCCTTTAAGAGCGATAAGAGCTCTGTCTGCCTCTTCAGATTTCCTTTCAGGAGCACAGAGGTGTGCGTGTGTGTGTGTGTGGGAGAAGAGGTCCTTAACCTCCCATCAGATAGAGGCAGAGAGGCATTTCAGCAGTCCAGTGACAGACACTTTTGAAAAAGACTTGCAGTGCTACACTGATTTCACCAGCTCAATGTGCGCTACTGGTGTGTGACTCATTTCTGATCTTCTCACAACTTCTCTGGTGTCCTGTGTGTGCAAACGACAGTATACAAGCACACTTAAACTCCATGAGCATGTTTTGAGGTCTTTCAGATGTTTGAGGAATCACATTAAAAATTCCTAGATTGCTGGTGTAGACTAGACTGGGAATAGGATAGGATATAGGATATAGAATATATATGATGAGATATGATGTATTAGATGAGATATGGACAGGTATGCTACTGTATGGACTAGACTAATCTGATCTGGTCGGATTTATGATATGGACTCACTGGATTGGTCTGGTCTGGTCTGATATGATGTTTTGCAATGATCTAGACTAGACTGGTCTGGCATGTTATGGTCTTGTCTGGTCTGATATATGATCTGAAATGATACGAGGTACAATAGATTAGGCTTGATTGGTCTGATCTGATATGACAGATATGAACTGGACTGGTATGGTATTATATGGACTATCTAGACTGATTTTGGCTGCGTGTCCCAAAAACATTGTAAGCCTAAGCAGATCATCGTACTAGAGACCATTAGTGGCAATGGTTCTATCAACTTAGCTCACAATGCTTTTGAGAAACGCTGCCCTGATCTGGTCTTGCATGAATGGACTGGTCTGGTCTGATATATGATGTGGTATGATATATGAACTACAATAGGCTGGACTGGTCTGATTTAATATGGGCTGTTATGGTACTGTATGGACTAGACTACTGACCTGGTCTGATATATAATATGGTCTGGACTGAATTGATCTGGTCTGATATATGATGTGTTAAGTGTTATGATATAGACTAGACGGGTATAGTATGAAATGGTCTGGTCTGATATGGTATGTCATAGATTAGAATGGACTGGTCTGGTCGGATATAAGATGTGATATAATATAAATGTCTATAGACTAGATTGGATTGGTTTAATCGGATGAGATGCATGATACTGTACAATCTAGAGTAGACTAGTCTGGTCTTGTGTGGTCTGGTATAGTAAAGTATGGATGGACTGGACTGGTCTTGCCTAATATATGGTGTCATGAAATGAACTACAATAGACTAGACTGGTATAGTATTCATAGTATGGACTCGTCTGGTATGATATTATGTGAAATGAACTACAATAGGTGAGTCTAGACTGGTATAGTATGAACTGGTCTCGTCTGATATGGTGTGAACTTGTCTGATATATGATTTGATATGATATGAAGTAGAATCGACTAGACGAGTATAGTAGGGTCTGCTGTTGTCTGTTCTTGTTTCCTCTGAGAGCAGCAGGCTCAGGTTTGCTTCCAGCTGTTAACCCATAGTTTCATAAATATGTCTGTTCTCATTTTGTCCATGATCACAGTGTTTAACCCCACATTGCTCCAGGTGGAACCGCTTGAATGTGTGTATGGGTTAGCCATGGTGCTCGTGTGGGCGGTGCAGGTTTGACTCCTGCTGCTGTGATATTTTAATTCTCCTCTATTAAAGACACACCATGACCCTTGTGTGTGTGTGTGTGTGTGTGTGTTTCTACCCACCAGCCTCATACTAGGGTCCCCCGCTGTGCTGGACAGTCTGTCTCTTACACTCAGACAACTCCTCATGTTACCTAGCGACCGTATCCAGGAGGCAGGCAGTGCACGGACACATGGACCGCTTTGTCTCCCCCTGACACTGACACACACTCACTCTCTCTCTCTCTCTCTCTCTCTCTCTCTCTCTCTCTCTCTCTCTCTCTCTCTCTGGTATTCTTGTGAGTCATGAAGGGCAAATTACTCTAGACTCTGCCGTCTCTCTGCAGGATTGTCTGTGTGTGTGTTTTCTTTTAAGAATCTGCCTGCATCATTCAGAGGTTTCTTGTCATGCAATTGTCCTGTTAGCAAGGAAACTGAAAATACAGCAAGGCATCAGTGCTGCTCTACAGAAACTTTGTAGTACATTTGTTATGACGGAAATGTTTGTTATACAAAGGTGCTGCTTGACATCTGATCTTCTTATTGATGATCTGGTTTTCTTATCAATGTTTGAAAAAGATTCTGATATTTTATACTTGATGAGAGTGATGCAATACTTAAATTCCATAATATAAAGAGTTCCAATGACTTTACTTTTGTTAAACATCCCATCTGGATTTGATTTATAGATGCATTACAGAATGAAATGGATATATTGTCCGTGTTTTAAAACCACTGAATTAATCTCACACGTCAACATTATCTTTACTGCCTCATTTGCTGACCTGTGGTGAATACTAGCAGAACATTGTCGTCCTGGTCAGTACCAAATTAGCGAAATGATCATCTCCTATCATGATAAATTTTTAGCACCATATACTTTGTACAGTATGTTCTTTGTCTCATGAGTGTGTGCTTTGTTTTGTTTTTTCAGGTAGAGGATGCCATGCTAATGTTTGATAAAACTACAAACAGACATAGAGGTAAGACCATTAACATTCTTTAAGTAATACTGCAATATATATATATTTATATATCTGAGAATCATTTAATGTTGTAGAGGACACACAGAGCTGTGTGTGAGAGACAGTCACTGACTTTTTTATATAATGGTCTATTTTGCTTTTACTTTATTTGATCAAAAATAGTAATATTGTGAAATATTATTACAATTTAAAATGTTAACCCCAAACTTTGAATGGTTTTGTACGTTCCTGTGTTTTTATCTATTGCATTTTGTATCATCAACTCAACAAAAAGGTGGTTGAGTCAATAAATCCACGAACAAAAACACAAATAGCACTCTCATCATGTAGAGTTGTACATTATTTTTGTCTGTATTTCATTGTCAGTTTTTTGTGTTCAAGTTTTCATCTTTGTAATCTGTTTTGGCAGTGCACTATGCCTAAAGTGCGACAAAAAATACTGTTATTAATACTGTAATTTGTATTTAATTAAAAAGAGAGAGATCTGTACAGTAAAGAACATTTCCGAGAGGGAAAGGTTTAGTTTAAATGAGTGTAAGTGATAAAGATAGTGAATGTTTATAAAAGAGCCAGTAAATTTGTGTGATATTAGGTTGTGAGAGCGCATATCCTTCACACTTATTCTTTCACACATACTGTCTCCTTTCTCTCCCGTGTCCTTCATGCCCTCCAGGTGACTGTTAAACTGCTGTTAAAAGACGCTCTTTGTCCGCCTCCATTCTTTTCTCCCCCTCTTTTCCTCTCTCTCTCTTCTTTCACTAAAGAGACTGCAGCAGAATCTCACTGGCATTTTCAGTCTGAAATGAGGATGATTGTGTTGGAAATTGAGCTCCAAAGCTCCATCAGTCCTGCTACCCCAGTGCATTGTGGGAACGTGCATTGGCTCTCCTGTGGGCGCATGGATCAGGGATGTTATTCAGACGTTGAAGCGGTTTTGTGGCAGGAATTCATGCTGTTAATTACAGATGTAATGGTGTGATTTTCATCAGGGCTCTGCTGGTTGCTTTTGTGAGCAGTTTGTGTGCTGTTACAGTGAATACCCAAAGGCCATACAGCCCTCGCTCTGCCAGAATGCACACTGTGTTTGCAATAACATGGTATCATACAAACCAACGTTTATAGCATGTTATTTTTTAAAATTGTATATCGTTCACATTGTGAAACAATGAATGTTTTAGTTGGGTTGTTGCATTTTTCATAGAAATGCATTCAGGGTTCAACCTTTTCAGCTGCTTTTAACAGTAATCGTGAGACTTGTGGCATTACGTGTGATGAGGTGTACATTTCCTGAGGAACTCAGACAGCTAGTGATGATAAAACATCTAAAATCCATGTGTTTTTGGATATATTTTTACCTGACATTCTCAGATGTCATTTAAATCTTGAAAAAGTGATTATGAGACTTGCATTGTGGAAAATATTGTAATCCTTAAACATGCTTTACATGTTGTTTTAAAATATTTCAACACGCAACTCAGAGTGCACAGTGCATGGACTACACATTGCATTCTTAGCATGGCCAGTAGGGGCGCTGTAGTGGGCATTAGCTTAAACGGTCTCCTTCTACAGACAGGTTTCTCTTTCAGGTCAACCTCTGTGATGGCGAGTTAGTAGAGAAAGTTATCTGATTAGTTATCTGGTAGATGGATAGACAAATGTATGGATGGATTGATGAATGGATAGGAAGACAAATAGATGGATAGACAGGTGGAAAGATAGAAAGTAGGGCTGCATGATTACTCGAAATGAAACACTACGCGGTTTGGCAAAGGCTGCGATTATTTATTTATTTTTTACTTAAAAAAAATAAAATAATTAGCAGCTCATCAGTAAAGCATGGCTCTGTGATCAGTAGTAAATGATGCTCCATCTGAAAGCCAGAGGGCACTCTCGCACAGAAACTCCAAATATGCCCCCCTGAAGTACGGTAACGCACGTTGTTCCAGTAAATCCTTATGGGCATTATACTATTGCTGTAGCTGAATAAACTGAAGATTGAAACGCTTTGATTAAACATGACAAATAAACCCACGGCTACGACAATATAAGGTTTATCGGACATAACCTTTTGTCACTGTATAGAATACTATGAAATATATCACATCATCTCAAACACTTTCAAACACTCAATTGATGTTATGAAGTGAGTTTGGAGTAAAAACATGTTAATAAATGTTGTCTTTGGTTGGAAGACGTTGAAAGATGTTGCTTTTTCGAAATGCACGTTCTAAGCGAATCAAACTCGCAGTGCTTTCAGATGGAGCAGCATTTACTACTGATCACAGAGCCGTACGTCACTGACAAGCTGCATAACAAATAATCGCAGCCTTTGTGATTTCATAATCGCCCTAAGCCAAATCATTTTATGCGTGATTTCAGGTTAATTGTGATTATTTGTGCAGCACAGATAGATAGATAGATAGATAGATAGATAGATAGATAGATAGATAGATAGATAGATAGATAGATAGATAGATAGATAGATAGATAGATAGATCATCATTTCCGATCTGTTAAGAAGTTTCCAGGAGGACTTGAATCCAGCCCATCTCTCTTGTCCTCCGTTTACTGCAGTCATTCACATATTTCAGTGTGACATCTAAAACACTTGTGTAATCCAAACTCTCATTTCCCTGTCAAACACCCTGCTAGTGTCTGGCAAAAGGTGGTTTAGTCTAGATTTTTTTATTTTGGCTGCTCGTGTTGGAGGGCACTTTTAATGCAGTGCTGAAGGCAGAATCGCAGTTCCCATCGTTCGGCATTAAATACTACAGGCATTAACGTTTCCTCTACAGTGCATTGCTACTACATTTTTGTTCACCTGTCTCAAGTGCATTTTTCCTAAAGAATGCATTTTTTCTCATCGCAACAAAAGACGCACAGTAGCACAGTCACACCTGTAATTCCCATGGCAGAAGTTCTGCTTCTTTTGCTCACCCAATTTCCCTGAATATAAAAGTCTGCCAGGATGATGAAAGCTGGTGTAACGTCACGGATGCTGATGGTCCTGCTCAACAGGCTTCCGAATGAACGTCTGATTACAGCTGGAACTTTGTGATTTTCAAATGATGTAAGTAAAAGTAACAGTGTCTCGGTTTGATCAACAGAGAGCATGAATTATGACTTTTATTGTTGAGCTACATAGAGAAAAGAAAAGGAGAGAGAGAGAAGCAGGTGTTGGGCTGAGTTAGGAATTTTTGGCCATGGATGAGGTTTTGTTTTGTGTGTTTCCTGGATGCTCCAGAGGACAGGATTGTTCCTGGAAGACGAACAGAAGGTGGTATTGTGTGTCTGTAATCTGCTTACCTGGATCAACGTTCCCTGGACTCACGAAAGTCCCCAGCCTGTGTGTGTGTGTGTCTCTCTGTCTGTTTGAGTCTGATAACTTTGTGGCATATTACAGTATTTATTTATGTGTGAGTGCTTTAAGGTGTGTCATTGATATTCTGCTTTCATTCAGACTGATTGTAGAGAACAAGATGGTCAGATCCACAATCAAGAGCAGGACATTTTCAGCTCTGTCATTTAAGAAACACTCTTTTTCATTATCTCTTCATTTCTCTTGCTCTCTTACCAACTAATGATATATATATATATATATATATATATATATATATACAGGGCTTGACATTAACACCCGCCATATGCGGGTTGGCGGGTGTTACGCCATATGCGAGTGGATTTCAGCAGTGGCGTGTAACGCAGTCACTCATGCTTGCCACTTTGGCGGGCTGAATTTTATATAGGCCTAATATACATTTTTCAATTGTAGTCTTTTAAAAAGGCATCTGATAAACTAAGTGCAATCTAGTGTTATAGATTTTTCGTTACATTTCGATACTGAACTATCTGAAACTCTTCCGCAGGATGCACCAGCAACGCGTTCTCCCTCTTTAATCTGTCTGACAGCGAGTTGACACCCTTTACAGTCTATGGTTGACACACAAACCTGCGTCCCTTTTATCACTAGTTTAATTTGCTCCAGATGAATATTATTGGTGTTACAGGGTGAGGGATTGTGCATATTGAGCACAATTGTACTCATTCCCGCAGATTTTGTGCTCACACCCAAAGTGTTTGCACATAAAGACAAGTATATTGGCTATTTAAAGCTGCAGTCCGGCGTTTTTCCTCTTTGTCGCCATCTCTGTTCGAAATCTGCAATTGCAGTCATTCGCGTAATTATCGACTTTACGTGAGTTGTAGTTCAACACCCTCGACACGACGGCACAGCGCGGATGAACACAATGTTTGAGGAGAGTGTGCAGCTGTCAGTCACCGCGCCGATGTGGATACTGGCATTCAGAATCACAGATTATTCTTTTTGGAAGTATGACCATTGACCAACATAAGAATTTTCACCGGAAAATATCATCTGAACTAGTAAGAAACATCCACTTTTGTTCTGGTTCTGACATTGCAGTAAATCGCGCTGATTAAATCTAACAATCGCTTATAAGTTATCATATCACGCAAAAGCGTGCAAATTATACTTTGTTCTCAAATTGTTAATGTTAACAACATAAGCAAGCATTGCGTGACTACATTTGATGTCCTTCCGATATGTAACGTTATCCTTGTTTTCGCATGGGTCCGATTGCAGTCTCTTTTTTCTGTAGCCACTCCGAAGTCCGAATGAAGTCTTTTGCATTTTACAGCGGGTGAATCTGTTGTCACTGGTGATTGTCGTTTGAACCTTTCTGGATCCGCGATCAAATGATAAGTTTAATTATATCAAGTGCTGTGAGAAAAGGCTATAAATCTCCCCCTCCAACATCCTCACACGCAATATAGCCTACTAGCCGAGACTCCTCCTTTATGTGTACAGATGTGACGACTGGACTTGAACACTGGCTGGTTATGTATTTTCTCAAATATGTATTTTGGATAATTTTTAACCCAAAAAAAGCTACGGACTGCAGCTTTAAAACAGTAGGCTATAATGGGTCCGTGCGTCATGTCAGCAGCCTAATATACCAGCTGCCAAATGAGATAAT